CTCGAATAGCAGAAAACTGGCTCAGGGAGCACTAGAGCGCAATACGCCAATATATGGATACATCGACCACCTAGAACAGCTATGGTGCGGAATTTCTTCTAACCGACTGAGCAGAGTAACCTGACTTGTTGCTCCTTCAAAGTCAAAAACGAAGTGTGCTTCTAACAGCACTACACTGTACTGGCTAAAACAAAGCCCTACGCATTAGCATAACAATGCCTAATACAGCTTCCACCTCAGCTATGTGGGCACCTGTAATTCCAGTGCCACCCATAATATGACAGAGCTACTGCTTCAAGTTGCATGAGTCAATAATGTTGGTGAATTTCTGGGTAGTGGAATTAAGTTGATCGTCGATGTGCAAATTAAGGTCACCAACAATGAACAGATTACCATTGTATGAACCATATTTCTCAAGCATGGCCCCAAATTCGAGGAGGAACTGTGACATAGTGAGTTTGTTCTTAACACTAGGTGGTTGACGATATAAGATGACAAATTTGAGAGCGATTCCTTGGTGTATCAGCGTATGGCATTTTACAAAAATTAACATAACAATGCAATCCTTGCAGAGAACAAAAAGCTATCAGCAGAAGTGGTGAAAAACAATAGGCATTGTACTGTGCAGAAAGTCAAAGTCTAAGTGAAAAGCAATCAGAGGTTTTTTAAGTCCATAAAACACAGCAGAAATGCGATAATCCAATATCTGATGAGAATGGATGAAGTCACTGGATATTCACGAAGCAATAATGATAATAAATTAGACTGATGGCTGAGCACTGAGAAAAACTTCAGAATTCAAGAGCTAAGACGCACTTCAGGATGAAAAAAATAATACAGATCTATCCACATTATATACAATTCATCAATACTTTATTGACTTTGAGTTAGTATTACGGCCTTTCCAGTGCTGAAATTTAGCAAGACATAAAGCAGGAATATTTCTGAATAATAAGTCAGCCAAGAATTTGACATGCATGTAAAATTGACAAACCGCTGGAGAACTCAATTATAAATTTACTAGAGAAAATTGGGTAAACCACTAGCGTACAAAACTCATTGGTTGCAATGAGAATAACATTTAGTTCATTGTTCATAAAAGTTCACATGTAATTCAGCCTACCTCGAGAAGACGAATCATGCCAGAGTGAGGTATTGTCGGATTTCGTACATGTTTATAGTATGTAAATATGATGATTTTCAGACAAGGGTAATATTGTTTTCATTTGTCTGTCGAATGTCCGGCCACGATGTCTAACTGTTGCTCATGGCAGGATGTCAGTGTTAACAATTTTCATTTGTGGCAGACCCATTTTATTAAGACTATGTCGTCATCCAAAGAATAACAGCTCCGTTTTATCTGTGTTTAACTTTAACAGATTGTAGGTCACTTGCGAATGAGGGATACACAACTTTGCATATGTGAAATCTTACTAGTTATGTCTGTATCTTTAGAGTCAAACATAGTTGTGTGTCATCAGCATACGTATGGAACCCGATGTTGTTTTCTCTGATCATGTTATATAGTGGTATACATGATGAATAGAATAAGTCTGAGAATAGAATCCTGTGGCACACGATACTTTTAGATTGTGAAAGTTAGATGAGATGCCATTGATTGATACAGCTTGTTGTCGATCACAGAGATACGATATTCCCGTACAGATTTTTTAGGCGAGATAAAATTACGCACGGTTTAGCGAGATGAATCTTGAGGTAAATAGCTTCAGATCATTTTTACACAGTTTTTGCGCTGGTGAGAATTTAATAAACATACCATAGATTGGTGGTAGTTTCTGTTACGTGCTATACAAAAATGATGTACTATTATCGACTTGTATTTGCGATATCATTTGGCACGTTTGTATTACGCAAGTCTATGGGAAGAGCCATAGCTCTTCTGTGTCGATACAATTTCTAATGTCTGTAAATGACAAATTTAATGAATTCATAGAAAAGACTAAATACCATCACATAAACTATGGGACAACAGCTAGTGTATAAAAAAATGCACAATACAGCGCCCTGCCTACAAAACATAATTATATAACTGTCCATGGAGAAATACACTGCAGAATGAGTTGTGCACATGCAATGTACACAGCATAATGATATGCCTGCCATAGACAAATACAAAACTTAATGACATATCTGGCCATGTAGAAACACAAACACACGTCGCAATGACATCCCAGTACGAAGTAAAAATATAAAAAATGACACAAATACACAACAGATTGGCACGCATGTACAAAGAAAAATAACGAATCGCAATTATATAACATACTGACAGGTCTGTGCATGGACATCTATACAACATACGGAGATTAATGTGTCTGAACATATGCAAAACAGAAATACATAGCTGTGATTTGACAACTAAACAACGTGCCATCCCGACATAACAGTGTTTAGACAAATGCACAACATAGTAACATGGATGTGCATAGACAAACACTCTACATAAAGACACGACTGTGCCCGGACAAATATTGCCACCTGTGTATAGTAGAATACACAGCAGAGTGAACACCCCATGTGTGTACAAATACAGATGAGAATGACATAGATACATATTTAATAGAAAGACTTGCCTTATCGTTGCGATTATATAACGATGTGTAATTAGTGATTGCTTGTCAATTATATTAAAGTTACTTTTTCAGTTAGAGTGAATTGTTAAAAATGACGTCAAAGTAGCGATGGTGTGTTATACAGGATCATAAATAAGAAGTGAACCTCACATGTGCGTACATGCACGTATGACTGCATCCCTTCCACAGTGCGGTTATATATCCTATTAAATGCTAGCTTTGCTTCTGACATTTTCTTACGGCATGCTTTATTTTCTTTATGGTTTTATTAAACTGCATCAGTCAAACCGGTCAGACCAGGTATACATTTGCAGTATAATAAATTTAAATACAGTCTGACCTCGGGTGATGGATCATACATTTAAAATAAACGGAACGAATGTAAGAACAAGTTTAGACATGAACAAATGTGTTATAGATGTAAATAAAATAATACATCAATTTAATGGATTTAGTCTCGATAACATGGATTATGTCAGTCACTGCACTGCGTTTGATTTCTGAAAGATCTCAACGTGTTGAATGTGATTGGTGCGCCATATATGTCCAATGAGATCAAATATGGTAATTCCCTTCTTACTACAACTGTATACATAGTTTTAAATTGACGGCGCCAGTCTTATCTTGCCATATTTCATCTACTAAACAATCCCCTCGGGTGACTGCAT